TATAACGAAATGCGACATGAGGGAGAGATCTAAAAGTAGTGGGAAATAAGATGTGTTCGACGATTTACAAAGCATTTCAGCAATCGTAAAGTTATTATATTGGTCACGTCTTCAAGATTACTCTCGAAATCGTCCGTCAAATGAGCGATCTGTCATACAAGAGTTGTTCTGTCCGTTTGTTTGTACCTCTGTTTGGAGATGAGTTCATCCATTACGAGGCGTCCGTCCGAGCAAATATCAGATATCGCATGGGCAGTCGACAAATCGACCCTCTTTTGATTTATTAGCTCCATTTCCGACTATCTGCCCGTCCATTTCTTCATTATGTGTCGAATGTTCTTTCATTCAACGGTGCAATGCGCTGGCGGCAAACTCGAAGGGAGTATCGTGTAGCTTCATTTTGCTTCTTCCCAGCCTGTAAATAATCCGACAAGTGCTAAATGCTACGCAGCTAGATATAAGTCGAGGTTCGCGACCACCACTTACACGTAGCCTTTTCCCGTTTAATCGAATAGACAGCTACGATATAAACTTTCTTACCCCAAACACTCCCTTAATTGATGCTCCGAAGCCTACGCCAATGTTAATGCGTCAATAGTCTACAATAAAAATATTTTTTTATCTCCTCGATGAAAAGTATTAACTCACGTAACGATCATGAGCGTTGAATTTTAAGTTTTTCTCATCAAAATCCAATCCATGCGAAATACGTCAAAGGACATTCTGTGCTTAATGCTATTCTAGGATAACTAACTTTCAATAAACAACACACTTTTGTCGACATTTTTTCTTTTTACGTCATATGAACAAAAATTTATAATTTGATGAAAGTGTAGAGTATTTTTTTTTAACCACGCCTGAAAAATCTGCTTCTCTAAAAACTGTCCAAAACTTACCAGACTCTTAAAATCATTTGATTAACGTGTAATATCCCTCATAAGCTTTAAATTGTCATTAAAATCTTTATTATTTATATGAAAAGATGACCTGAAGTTATACTTCGTTTACTTTCTGTAGCGATGTGACCTTCAGTTTGACCGGCGCAAAGTAGGAAAGAACAGCACTAGGCCAGAAAAGAAAGGAGACAACTCTCGGCCACACTCTTAACCGGTGAGGAGCTTATAATCCATACAGTACTGCACGGAAAAAATGACCATTTTATCCTCTACAATTGCATTGCTCAAATGGGCTGTTATTGGTACCATTTACTACTGAAAATATCAACGAGATGTTTATTTATATTTGAAGACATATTAAAGGCTTTAACGCTTGTTTTCGACTCGCACTACTATTCATGATTGAACAAAACTTTTGGCAGGTACTGTATGAAAAAGTATGTTTAATGAACAAGAGTCGAGAGTATAATGAGCTTTTTTCTCCCTGCCTACGATTTTGCCAGCGCGCATTCAAGACATTGGAAGGGGCAGACCGCTAGAGAAAGTAAATGAAGTATATTTATCCGAATTTCCCTGTACCACGTCGTATTTTTCAGAAGATAATGCCGCCCTTTGGATATAATATACCTATGCACGGTTCTCAACTCGCCAGTAGTGTATATTAGGGTTTAATTGACGTTCTTTTCCGGTATTCCTTATCTGCTTGAGGTAGTCTTTAACTGCTGAGGCACCATGATACCAGAAAGAATGTTTTATTGATACAATAATAAAGTACGGTTGGTTGGCGTAAATGGTTAAAGAAGAGAACATCGGCTTAATCTGCCCGCTGCGTGCTTTTCTATTATGTTGTCAGAATGATACAAACGGCCCCAATAACCGCGAGCATGGGAGACTGCTACTGGACAGCTGATAAACAATACGGCCCTGCGGCCACTGCTGCCTTGATTCATAGTCGATTCCCGTTCTTGCGTACGATCTTTCGTGGTAATAAACGTTATGCGATCTCAGCCAGCAGCGTTGCCACTTGACTTAAAAAAATCCTTAATCCGACAAAAATTACGGTTATACTAACATACAACCTCAGATTAATCAGTTGCTCCTGCTCTATAATAACTATACTCTTCTAGTTGCTTCTTATCTTTGTAGAAATCACAAATGCATGTATCTATACTTTGTTGACCACGGAAGCAAGTCAATTTTATCTGTTGTTACATCACTAAGGATTCCTATTGTATGAAGAAAACAAAAACGAAAACAAATGTTTTTCTAAAACAAAAAAAATTGAAATAAGGACAGAAATATGTGCGAACTTCCCATGCGGCAAAACTCTTAAGTAGAATTGTACAGAGGAGGAGGGAAAAAAGGGAGGAAGAACTCCCAACGAGGGAGGTAATTTTAGCTTTACGGGTAACAATAGAGAAAACGATAGAAAAACGAAAGAGTGCGTACATAGGATTTGTAGATTTAGCAAAAGCTTTTGACAATGTTAAATGGGACAAGATGTTAAATATACTTAAAAATGTAGGGATGAGTTGCAGAGATAGAAGAGTGATACTTTGTATGTATAAAGAGCAACAGGCAGTTATAGAGATGGGGCTGCAACGTAGAGAAGTAAATATTAGGAAGGGAGTCAGACAAAGATCCACACTGTCACCGCTACTTTTTAATCTACACATCGAAGACGCGATCATCATCATTAAAGACACTACAACTATAACTAAAGGTAGACACAGGAGTTAAGAGGAATAGAGTTAGACCTAGAATAGATTACTGTTCGCAAATAGTTGAGGATTTGAGATGTCCTAGTTTTAGGGAAATGCGAAGATTAGCTCAGGACAGGAAAGAGTGGAGATGCGTGTCCAACCAGTCTTAGGACTGACGACCTTATGAATATGATGATGAATGAAGCTCAGAAACAGCCAAAATCAGTACTACCATCATGATTTATATAGCTAATTGAATAGTCTATAACGTAACCTACAGTATGAAATACATATACATATAATCGACACGACATCATAGGTATGTAACTATTGCATTGGCGGATGTTGGTTGTTGTAGGTAATTAATACTGTTAATTAATGCATCAGCAATCGGTATATAATATCGAAAACAAATTAGACGGTTGTTACTTGCAACGTTAATTTGTCAGCTACAGTTGCTACCGCGCAAATCACACAGAGAATATATTTACCACTTTACAAGGAAACACATTGACGTAATTATGAAGCATTGGCAAGCAAGGATAATAAATAATATATGAGATGCAGAAACCCGCATAACCATTACGGGTTACAAATTAAATTCACATTTATTGAAGCACGTATGGAATGTAAACCATAGACACTTCTAGATGCTGAGGACGAATTTACCATTAACTATATTCCTATAGAAAATGAGAAAAAGGGCACTTTGTTCATACAATTTTTGATAATAATTTTTAGCTATAAATATCTAACTAAACACTATATTTTCATGAAATATTAATTATAATCACCACGATTACTAACAGTATTAGCTTTTACTTTAAATTTTCAGTTAAAGCCGCGCGACGCAAAACATGTAGTATCTTGCCTCTAGCTTTCAACAATATATTTGGACTCCAGCCGAGTTTCAACTTGTGACAACAAAACAAAACAAAACAAAAATTACATTATGTACTTACTTACAGTGCTTGATTTTAATTTTTTATATTACGCTTAGGACCGATTCGGATAATTGGCGATTCGGTTAATCGGCGTTCGGATAATCGGCGTTCGGATAATCGGCGTTCTACTGTAATTGTAATCGATATATTTCCTAAAAATAGTCTTTTCATTTTTTATCAATATTTACATGTAACAGATTTCCACAGTTAAATATTTGAAGGTATTTATTTTTTCAAGCAGGTAGTTTTCAATAAACGGATTGTTAAAAAAAGAACGATAAACAATAATCAATCAATTAAGCAAAGTTGCAGTTTGCCGCGTTTGTCGTTAACAGTTACAGAGTGGTATTTGCTAATAGATTTTCGTAGAATGAAAATGAACGATAATGGTGGAAAATCGTTCAACTCATATTTCACGAACCGATGTACTGTTTAATAATAAGCCAGGGGGTTGATTTAGATTACGTTATTAACACTTTTGCGTGGATTCAATCATTTATACAGTTGACACGCGAGCAAACTGGTTTTTGCGTAGCCTTGGGCTAAACGACTTCGCTTTTTGAGCGCCCATTGAACAAAATAAGCGTGAAAATCATTCGCTCAGTTCGAATAAACCTTTTCGGGGCATATGGAGCGTTTTTATTTTCTGTATGTATCTTTATTGCAAACCATTTCAACGCTCAATATTTATCACTTTATTTTCTCTGTTGAAATTCAATGGAATGAAAATCACTCTGAACTAGTTCAGGCCAAAAGCTATTTTTGTTTACAATCTCCCAACGTTTCGCTCTCACACGAGGAACTTCCTCAAGGCATCTGCCTTTACGAACTATACAGCTACCCTGCTGGAAACTCAAGCACATATTCTAAGGGATATTATACCTTTATACCTAATTAGTGGATAATGCTTAGTTCCCTCCCATATACCTACTTTTAATTAGGGTTAAAATTTTCGATATGTCGAATTCCCTCCTAATTATACATCAATTGCCTTCAAATGGAGGCGGATGACCTTGAGTGCTAATTGCTACTATAAAGTCATAAAGAGGGAACTCGGCTAGTACCCGGGAGGGAATTCGACTATCTATATTTTAACCAAAACTACCTGCGGGAGGGAATTCGGCATCACCGTAATTAGTTTCTCTTGTTTTTCGCAATTTTACTCTTCGCCTATTTTTGACAGCACGAGCCACCACTGGAAACTTTTATTAATTTTAATACATTGGTGGACCCATCTACCTACCGAAAGACATTTTCATACTACTATTAACCAACCGTGTGGTTTTACTGTATTTCTGAAGTCATTTTGTGTGCTTTGCAGCTACAACTTCAGGACAGATTTCATCTGAAAATCTTTCTTGAAACATTTTTACTCTATGCATTTAATAATATAATGTTCATTAATTTATACTAACCCGCGCGTGTTTTAACCACAGTACTCTCTACTATTGTTGCAGTTCCAGGCCCGGACGCCCGCCCAAACGTGCGCCAGTAGGACTTAGCTTAGCTGCCTCCCACCAGTATCAGCACCAAATTAAGAAACACAGACTGGAGAACGGTGACTACTCCCCTTACGAAAACGGGCACATGGGAGGTAAGTTTTTTTTAATTATTTATTCAATATAAACACGTAATAGAAGTTCATAAAAATGAACTATGATTTCCAAATTATGCCGATACGTTTTCGCAAGTTCTATGTAGTCGTTCGAGAAGGTAATAAATAAATATTGTATGAGTAGAAAGAAACTGGATTTCTGGATTCTAAGCGTAACATTTTCCATGACAGATCACAGTGGTATCAAAAGTGTTCGATGTTTTATATCCTATCACAAGGGACATCTTCAGGAACTTCATGTTGTGGATGCAGGATTTCCAATGCTGTTGCTGAACAGTTCGCCAAGAGCGTTGGAAGCACTACCATGATCCGTCATAGAGCTTTCATCAATAAGACGCAGTTAGAATCTGGAAATCCAGTTTCTTCAGATGACAACCGTGAAAGCCTAAATCAACTTCTAAAGCAAGAATAGGTTTTACAGGTTTTTCTGTTCAAACTCTTCAACTTATACTTTATTACACCAATAGGGGGCAACATTATTTAAAGATAATAAGAAAAATACAATTTTACATCTAACTTCTCCTTTTCATTGTAAATGTCATTATTATGGGTACAATAAGAGAAAACGGATAAGGGAATGCCTCATGTAGCGTGCGGATCTTGTTTGACTTCTCCATAAATTCCTCATTTGGAAATCGACGATAGTGAACTGATGTGCCTACACTATTAGGGTCTTATTAGGCAAACATAACACAAGTAGGTATGACAATTATTATGGGAGTTCGATTAGGCAAACTTTAAATATATCTAACTACTAACATGTGAATATGATTGTAAACTGTGTTTGAAAATGATGAACTGGTATAGTCGTATAGCCGATTTTGATTCTACCAAGAATTTTTAACTCGGCGAGCAAAATTTTTCCTAACGAAAGTCACATAGCATTCAGAATGATGCATGTGAGACAAAAGGCATAATATACCATTTGATTTCTTTTGGGGCAACTACATGGGGTCTGAACGAGGCAACGTCTAAAATAGGGACCCTATTTATACCTTCCCAAAAATTCTAGTCGGGTAATGAAATGTTATTATTAGGTAGGATTATAGAGTTACGTTGTCATAGACAGGCAGACGAAAACACTAAACCCTTAAAAGTAAGTTGCGCCTTCATTAGGACATGGTATTCTTCCTTCATATGTTTACAAGCACTTTTAATTAACTAAATAACGTAAGAGTGACAATTTGACAATTGATAGCACACATATTACATATGTAATTATAGCTACAGCATCATATTTGTGGTAGTCTCCCTCATAAAACTGATTTTCATGACATAAAATGGTGCGAATTAACGAATAAAATTTAAAAATCCCAATAAGGGATCGAATTGTGGGGTGTGTTTTTGCTTGAACACCATGGTTGTTACACCTCGATAGGTTGCAGTGAAATTCCATTTTCGTGACGTCGAGCAATTAAAAGGGGAAAAGTGCGCTGGAAAGCAACAGCGATCCGTGCCTGTTAAACTTAATATACGTACACTCAACATTTCGAGGGCAACAGCAGAAGTGGATTAAATAGCAATTTTATTTCTGATACAATCTGCAACTGACACGAGAGCAATGGGATTCAAAGGAGGCGGTCTTACGTGTTGCTCATGATTACTAGTAGACGAAGTCGGTTGCAAGTCGATTCGTTAATTCCATCACAGTCGATTTTGCAAGATCGTTTCAAACTGGAATTTAAAATATCGCAACGTGCATTTCTGTTTGGGTTTTTTGCGCAGGTGCAAGGGTTACTTTTTCGTAAAAAGGACCATTACAACAAATTTCATATTTACTGTAGATTACTGCAAACGATCGCAAATAATTTAATTTTCTTTGCCGCTATAAATATTACAGCATCGATTAGGCTGTTCTTTTAATAAGTACATAATTGATTTTGAATATCGACTAGCTATAGAATCCTCGAGTGGTTACCTTTTTAAGGGGGTAGGAGAACTGGTTAGAATGAACAAACGCGTGAAGGAATCACATTTCAAATACCATCAGTAAATAATCCTGTATTCTTTGTACGAATTTCGTTAATTTTCGTTTAATTTACGCTGGATTTCACCCCTATTACTTTTGATCATTATATGGTCGTCAGTTGTAAGACTGACTGGACACGCACCTCCAATCTTTCCTAATATTCTGAGCTAATGTGTGCATTTTCCTAAAACTAGAATCTAATCTAGGTATATCTCTACTTCTCTTAACTCTTGTTCCTGCTTTTAATATGTGTCTGACTAGACCTTTATGCCTAAGAAGATGTCCTACCAACTTATCTCTCCTATTTCTTATTGACTTCCATAAAGTCCTCTGTTCTCCTATTCTTTCTAATATCTCTTTATTTCTAACCTTCTCTATTCACGGTATCCTCATCATTCGCCTGTAACACCACATTTCAAACGCTTCTAACCTCGCCGCGCTCCAAACATATACCTTTAACAATATTTTTCGACTTTCTAAATTACCCTTTCGCGAGCACAGAAGTGACTTCTTTTTGTTGAAGGCTACCCGACCCTGTGATATCCTATTTTGTATATCTCTAGTATTCCTTCCATCCAGGGTTGTCTGACTTCCAAGACATCGAAAATCAGCCACAATTTCTAATTTTCCATCTCCTATCTTTATATTCGCTCCTTCCCTACTTTTTCTCCCTTACATACCAGTATTTCTGTTTTACTTTTATTTAGTTTCATATAATACTGTTTTGTCAACATCGCTTCCACTTTATTTAAGGCTACCTCTACCTCTTCTCCTCGCTAGATGCTAATACTGCTATTACTTTTGTAATTTATTTTTCTTTAATGTCATCTGCAAACATCTAAAAACTCGGTTGATGATCTTCACACATGTCGCTGATTTTGATGTTTTAATTTTCTATTCGGAAAACGCGAAACTGCTTTAACTGTTTCTTTACCTTAATTTACGTTATACTACCGTGTCTATGCTAACACAGGAAGTGTAATTATAAAATTTTATTTTTGTTTTCTTTACGCTGCACAGCTATCGTTACAATGATCAAGCTCACCTCGTATTACAATTGTTGCTTGAGAAAAAAAAACATTCATTCACATCGCTACGTCCACCTGACAGCCACAATAACAAGTAAAAGAAATGGTTATTGTTGATCCTAATGCAATTCTAATTCTCAAGAAATTACAAGTTTCACTTGTTTTTACATTCATAAAATCTCAGAATTGTAAATGATATCGCAGACATTGTTCTTTGGCTATTCGACTACAGTTGTACCTATTTGTTTCGAAATACTTTGGAAATTATTAATAAGGATAAGACAAAAGGCATAATACCTAATTAAAAGCACGAAAGCATTGTTAAAACAATGCTTTAACAACTTTGTTTTTTAATTTTTAGATTTTTAATAATTTTTTACTCCTTTTTAAGACATCCTATTTTACTATTTTACCCATATGTTTTGTTCAATTATCATGTCAAAACTAAAAATAAATGTTACTGTTACTTGCTGCTTCATTTATTCAAAGATCAGGAGCATATTTGAATTTACTTAGAAACAGTTGTAATAAAATGACTGAAATGTTTACGAATGCAATTCCATTAAACTATTTGGATCGTTTAAAACGCTATTATCTGTTAGTATCATGCATTCCCTCTGAAAACACGATTTCAAACGCTTAATAACATACACTTTACAGCTGTCAGTACTCCTATTATTGTGAAAGAAATCGAAGCTGGCTCGATTCGTATCGCATGCCACTCTCCGTAATCGTTTTAGAGAAGCTTTCGAAATTAAAATGACAGAAGTTAATTATAAGAAGGGGAAATGCATCACTATTATTGTATCACTTACATTTAGAAAGGAAATATTTTTTTAACTAGAAACAGTAGCAAGGATGTGATGACTAATTTATTTTAAGAATAACAAATATCTTAAAAGAAAACTCCATTTGAAAAACTTTCGCCGTGGCTACTCGACCGTTAACGACCAACTACAGACATAAAAAACGTATATATGACGTTAGAGATCTTCATTAACTTAGTCCAATGTTAGTCTAAAAAGCATCATCATTTATAAAGCATAGAAAACGACGGGTCCGCTGCGCGATGAGCGACTGCGTATCAATTTTCGTACTAGCGGTTGCTTACTGCGCAGGAAACCATCGAAAAAAACTCAACAGTCACTGGCTGTACAATTTAAGGAAGCCACGTACCTGCTGCTCCTATCCCTAACTGTTTTGATTAAAATAACTGTTCGGAAATTAAATATTTGCAAACACACGAGAAATAAGTGAAATTAACTTTTGTAGTAGTACCACTTAGGCTAAACTCAGAGAACCGATCAAACGTTGTCGCTCACCCTGATTTTATTAGTCAACAAAACCAAAAGGTCACTAAGATCGTTCGCGTTAATCGAGGAGGTTAGGGCTCAATAAGTACCAACAGTGGAGTTTTTACAATAAAACACAGAAAAGTTCCAATACGTTTAATTTTCCAGATATTCCTATTAGAAAATCAAATAAACCAAATTAGGTATCATTAGAATTTTTGGCTTAATATATATTAAAATCTTAATGTGGTGAGACAATTCTAAAGCGCGATTCTAATAACTCAGCGATAATAGATAAGTCGAAGATGATTACTCTGTTGGTTATTTTCTCCTTTTATTTAACTAGTAATGCTTGCAAATTTTTGGAATTTCAAATTAGGATACTTCAAAATATTTTTCTCTTTTGAAATCCTGAGACCAGATTCGAGATCAACATAGCAAACCACGCTGGAAAAGATATACCTGGTGTACGTTTCCACGTTCTCATGTAGGAAATACCGGACTTGAGAACAGGCTTAAACTTGGACCAGTAGTGGGAAGACAAGCTTAGGCTTGTCAATAATCGTCAAAGTTCAGTCAATCGTCAGATGCCACAGCCAGGTACATTAACGTTTCGTTAAGTTTGGTCAAATACTTGGGCAGCGAACATTAGGTTGTCAATACTGGTCCAAAGTTCTGGTAATCTTTAAA